CACGCACAAACACACACACACACACACGCACAAACACACACACAAACACACACACACACGCACAAACACACACACGCACAAACACACACACACACACACGCACAAACACACACACACATACACACGCACAAACCCTTATGCTCAGCTGAGCTTCCTGTCGTCTGAAGATTTTCAATTTTAATTCCTTCTTTTTAATTCCCTGTCGTCCTCCCCGGCATCCCCATGCATGGACCGTAGCATAGATGAAAGCCCTAAACTTGGATAGGCAGAGTACTAACAAGCTTATTAAATGAAGGTGGGAGGAGCCATGCCCCACGAGCAGGCACCCTGATTGGCTACCCCATACCCCTCCCGTGTTCTCATTTAGAGCAGGAAAAAGGGGGCTGCATGGAGGAGGAGAGGCGCAGTCGGGGAGAGAGAGTGGAGAGATAGGGGGCCGGTGCCGCGGTGGAGCTGTTAGCGGAGTATCTTTATGCAGGAGCCACGCAGACAGATACCGGGTCAGAACAGCTGAGCATAGAAGGGGAGGAGAAAGAGAGGGAGGGAGGGAGCGAGCGAGCGAGAGAGAGAGAGAGAGAGAGAGAGAGAGAGAGAGAGCGTATGCACCAGGGACGGAGAAGCGCTTGCACTGGTATGAGGAGGACACTATTCACAGGTGGTGAGAGAGGAGAGCGTCAGGAAAGTTAAAAGCTGTGGGAACTCCCAGCTCCCCTAGACGAGAGAGAGGGGCAGCTGGGGATCACTGGTGGTGGAGCGGGAGAGGAGCGAAGGATAAAAGTTACTTAGGGGGGCAGAATCGAGCCGGAGGCCCTGGATGGGGGTCTTTAATGCCACGCTTACTCACCTGACGGGGAAGCATGAGGACTGATTACCGCGCCGTTAGACAGCTACTGCCGGACGTGGAGCCGTGAGCGAGGGCTGTGAGCGTGCAAGAGCGTGTCGCACGGGGGGCACATGTGCGTCTCCCCTCCGTAAGGGAGCGCCACACCGAAACTTTGCTGGAGAGTCGCGAGCAAACCGAGTAGCCGACAGCCAGTAAGGGAAGGGGGACAGCGGAGGTGACTTTCCAGCACCAGTCCACCTGCGTTCAGAGACATGGTCTGGGCCACGTCTGGGCCCCAAGCAGCAACGGCCACCCCCCAGCATGGAGAAATCAAGTAGCGAGGAGTCTGCCATCCACCGCAGCCCCTCTGTGGACAGTCGGGACTCGGATTTCGCCAGAGCATCCTCCTCGGGCCGGCCATTCGGAGGCCGCGGCTTCACCGCCGGCGCCTTCTACGGCTCCACGAACCGGCGGGACACCGCCACTGCCGCCGGCACCGCAGCCCCCGCAGACAAGGCCGACGAGAAGCAGGCAGCAGCCAAGGGGAGCAAATACCTGGTGTTTTACCTGGACCTTTCCTTTGTGTTTCTTCTAGAATTCAAGAAGTTGGACATGGCTCGAGGCTGCCTCTGCTGCTTAAAATACATGATGTTCCTCTTCAACCTCATCTTCTGGGTAAGTGGACACCATCTCTACATTCCTACGGTCCTCTAATGTCTTGTTTGTTGTTTGTTATTTTTGGTTACTTTGGCTCTCGGTTAGTTGCTGTTGCACAACTCATGTTTGCTATTTGTATTTTGCAAGTCAGAAGTCCCAAGTGTGAAAATACTGCCCTGTTACAGATCGTGATTTTGGGGGGGGGGGCAATTACAATTGTGCCAAATGTGAAACTGTGGTGTTTTTCTCTACAGGTTTCTCATGACATAATTTACATGCACTTGTACTGGTTTGCCTGTACCCTTCCCATGCGCTGTAGTGTTTTTTTTATAATGGGTTTAATAGATCGGTCAATGCATGCAGCTCGGGAATGAACAGGAGAGTCATTTAAAATAGGCAAAGTTAGCAGACTGCGCATAAGGAATTAGTTTTTAAGGCATAAAGTGGAGTAGTTTATGGTTTGAAAACGTGGAACTTTTCACCAGCCAAGTGCAATTCCCTCTGATCTGTCCCTGAAGCACTGTAAAATTAAACGTCGAATGTCTCATTTTATCATGTTGCACAACTTGATTTGTCTGCCTAGAGTGAAGTGCGCCTTGCATCACTTTACCCAGAATGCCTTCACTTCCTCCTTTTCTCCCCAGAGAACCCATGAGGGTGCAGTGGTTTTGTCTTTAGAGATCCAGTGTCCTGTGAGCACTGAAATGCTCAATTTGGACCTCAGTGCAGCCCAGAGTCCCTTCCTGTAGAGCTGTTACTGCACAAGCCATAATAACTTCATAGATTCAATCCCCCATTTTGCTTTGCAACCACACCCCTGTTGTCCTGCTCTCATCTGGTGATGTTGTATCTAGGAATTAAGCAACAGATATGTTGAATTCCCTGAGCCCCTGCCCCAATCTGTCAGTGTTCATCTTAGAGACTTGGGCTCTTAGTTAAGGACCCCTGTACAGATTGAGGGCGAGTGTAGGAACTCCATACATGGTAAATGGGGGTATTTGTTGTGAAGGTGTGCTCGGAGTGTATGCCTGCTCCCCCAGACATGGTCAGAGACGGCATAGTAATCCTGGGGAGGGAGAGTTAGAGATTAGAGGTGAAGTACCTTTCCTACCTGTCCTGGCTAAGATGGTGTTCTGACGCCACTTAGGGTAGCGCTACTCTGACAGCGGATACTCCACGAGTCAGAAGGTCGGCTGTCCGTCCCTGGCACCAAGGTGCAAAGCAGTAACTCGACCCCTGGCCGGGCCAGCCGCCTGCCTGCCGGGCCCTGGCGGTCCGAATCCCCGTGGGCCTCACATCGGTAACCCGAAACAAGTGCAGAACCACGACAGGAACTCCAGGCATCTCCGTGTGTTCATCTCGGATCCTGCGGCAGTTGTTCCCAACCATCTGGCTTTTCTTTCTTATGGGGATTAGTGGAGACTGAGCCTGGGGGGCTGGGGGTGGGGGGGAGATTCCCCATAGTTTTAAACGCACGGTCATGTCATGGCCCCACCATGCGTCCTGGCCCCCAACTGTGTGACCGAGTCCTGATCTCCATCAAGGGCGATCAGATCAGACAAAAGGAACTGTAATCATTTCCTATTGCTGTGGGACGCCAAATTCCCCATGCGGGGGGGGGGCTGGGACTTCAGCCCGTCCTGTTGCTGATTATCCTGAAACTCAGATCGGTCCACCTGACCAGAATAGCGCCAGGCTGTGATGCATCAGCTCGCCGCTCCACAGCAAGTCGTGCTTTTATTTTATGCAGAAAATTATTCTCAAGGCAGTTCTGCAACGATAACACAATGCCAAGCATAATGATTGCGAACGTGTCCCCAGTACGAACGGGAAGGGGAGGGAGGGGGGCATGATGAACTTGTGGGTGGCGTTCCCAGGACGGACAATATTCCTGTATCTACTGCCATTCTGCTTCATATTCCATGAAGATTTAAACGACAATTAGTAAGAGCTAACACGAGATTAATCTTCTCAGCCATTTAGACTGCGACTCCGGAATTCCTGCATTTTTCTGGAGACGCTACATAAATGCATTTACAGTGTGCTGGTGGTTTTAAGAAGGAGGGAAACTGTGCATGCAGCCAACGAGCATGTAGATCACAAACACAGATTGCATGAAATGATCTGTATGTCTATTTGAATTATTGATCTTTATTATGTCCTATTTAATAATTTGAACGTCTCTTTGCAAAAACCGGACACCTCTGTCGTTCCTTACACTCGTTACGTTTTGCTCTCTCCCTCGTCACGCTCCCTCCTCTTCCTCATCACGCTCCCTCCACACCTGAGCACGGCCACACGCAGTGAACTGGAGAGAATCACGCGGTGTCTGCTCTAAAAAAAAAAGGAGCGTCTCTGAGTGAGCAACTGGAGACAACGGTAATAACTGCCTCAGCAGCACAGCTCCCGTTGAGCGAGTGATGGTCTCGTCACCGCGGGCAGCAGGTATCGGGCCCCCCCCCCAGGGTATTTTTGGTGCCACGGAAGTTAACGGTGTCTGTCACGCAGAAACTGAAGTGTTTGTTCCGGCAGAAGTACCAATGTGTGAGGCACTGAGGTCAAACGCTTTGCCATCTGTGGACTGTGTTTACTGGATATCTTCATTTTATGGTTCCTGGAGGTCGGTGCAGTGGCGTGGTCTTATTCCTGCGACCGCAGCCTTTTCAGAATCGTTTAGTTCCATCCATCTCCATATAGGCCACCATTTAACATGCGTTACATTCGAAATGTAAAAGGAACCTATGTTTGATGAGGCACTAATTGGTTCCTCGGGCTGAAAAACGATCCCGTCGGGTCTATAACACTATGTAATTGAAGGCAGCGCGTTAAAAACAATGACCTGAATAAAAGGCTCGTGTGTATTTATTTACCTCTGTCTGCACTGTGGGAAAATCAATGCCATTTTAGACCTTTAAGGAATATTAAAAAAAATCATCCGACTTGTAAAAATAGTCGCATGTACTCTCCCCGTTTTGTGGTGAAAGACAGTATCTCACAGGAAGCCTGCGAGGAGAAATGTCATGGCGTTAGGACTGTAGAATTTTGGATAACTTTTTTTGTTAATGTTGCCTTCTGTCCTTTTTATAGGCCAGGCTGTAAACCCGTCCCCAGATGCACCCTGCTGACAGTGGAATCGATGCTAATCTGCTTCTAACCGCTGAATTAATGCGTATTGTTAGAGGGACCCGCGGGCCTGCAGTGCTCAGCGCTTTCTCAGTCGCTCAGGAGCAAATCGGTGGCTGATCGATGCAAGTCAGCAGCCCCTTTGCCAGTCTGGGAGCTCCCCCCCACCCCAAACCCATGTGTAGGTATATCTGTTATTTATTTATTTATTCCGTTCTTCATAGAGGCCTTCCGCTTGGTTAATAATTGATCAAGTGGGGGGAGACTCTTCTCAAATGGAGTTTGCTCTTCGCAAATGGGTGAGACGCTCAGACTTTTAAACAAGTCGCTACATGAGCTTGTGCGGTGTCTGGTTCCCATCCAGGTGTGTTTATGCCCTCTGACAGGCCACACTTGTGGGAATCATGGGAGTTACTGCTGATTCCCCATCACTCTCGCCAAACTACCCTGTTTTCCGGTTCTATCTGTGAGCAATATGTGATCGACATCTATTAGAAGGTCTGTAGTGTGTTTTCTAATGAGAAAATGAGCTTTGGCGTATCAGAAAGCCTGAGTGAGTGTGAAACGTTCTGCTTCTGGCCTGTCTCATCAGATTTTACCTCAAACCACAACTGGATTAAACAAAACGTATCCAGTCTCCAGTAGTCGGTATTCCAGAAATGTTTCTGAAGGTACCTCCGAGATTTCTCCGGGGACAGGTTTGAGGGACAGATTGCCGTGTGCATGAGAACGAGCCGCCGGCGTGGTCGTCCTTTTTGGCTGGAGTGGCCGGGAGCAGAGGCTGACAGGAGAGCTTTGTTATTGGCGCGCTTATGCATCAAACACCCCGGCACCTTTCATTTTTTTAACTTTCATGTGTAATGGACGTCGCAATAGTTTCCGTGCCCAACACCCATGAGCTGACTGGATATTAATAAAGAACAAAAAATGTTCATGCAGCCCACGATTCAGTGGCAGTATTATTATTAATGATAATGTTTTTATCAGTTTAATTAAATTAGCACAAGTTTTTTTTTTTTTTTTTTGAAGCCTATTAAAAATTTGGGTGAGGCAGGGTTGAGGCGGGTTTGTCCCGTGGGCTGCACTGGCACCGTGTTTGCGAGGCTGGGCTAAGATCCTCTGCAGTGATGCAGGATTCAGGCAGGCGGTCTTGGCTTCCAGGGACTGGGACAGCACTGCTTTGGTTACATAGTGGTTTAGCTCCTGTTCTGAATACTTGATCATTCATCAACGGCCTGAACATCTTCAGACGATCGTGCTGCGCTGTTGTGACCTTCCTCTAGTTTAATTAAGACCATCCCCACATGTTCACTCATCGATTTAATTACCTTGTCTCAATTAGAAAGAATAGTCAGCCATAAGAGTGGAGGGTTGTCAGGGAAGGCCTGCATTGGTAGTTTTGAACAGAATGCAGGCTTCCCTGTTGCATATTAAGTCTTGGAGAGTCCCTTGTTTAGCCTCCTTGCATGAGAATAGCTAGAAGCGGACGCTGTTCTCTACTGCGCATGCTGTCAGGCGATCTTTGGCTGTGAGCGGAGGCTCAGTGATTGAATGAAGTGATTTTCTCCTCTTGTTTTATCGAGCTTATTAAGGGATTCCGGAATGCGGAATGGCTGCTTGTGTGGAGACTCTGCTGGAAGGTGAAGGTGTCTCGTGCGGGTGGTCATGTGTGAGGCACACGTCTTCATTACTGCACTCTTCCCCTCGTGTGCGATACCCCGCAGCTGAATGCTTTGAAACATTGAAATGGATGGGACCTTTTGCCGTTAATTGATGGATCTTCCAGGAAACGGGCTGGTTTTGCGCAGGCCTGCAGTGTTAAGTGCCCCAAATATCCATGGATATTTGGGATCAGCTGAGATGTCCTTATTACTGGTGATGCTGTCCCGCTCCAC